TGCACTTGCCAGAAAGACAGAGAAAGACAGGAAGGATGGCCACACTGCAATCCCTTCTCCTCCATTCTCCTCCTTGGGCATGCACACACACGCACCCGGCGTGAGTTAAAGCCACCGGGTCCAAGACTCGAACCACGGTCAACTACATGGGAGTCCAGGAACATAGCCATGACGCCAACTGCTGGTCCCAATATTTAGATTCTTTTAAAAAATATTTAACTTTTATTTATCATCATTATTATTTTTTAAATTGTATAAGCCACATGCTCTTACCAGAGAAAGAGAGAGAGAGACAGGTAGAGAGAGACAGAGACAGAGAGAGAAGGAAGTGAGAAAGAAAAGTCAAGTTTGGGACTTGAACTGCAGTTTGTTGTGTGACAGTCCAGCAGCTTAACCACCACACTACCTGCTGGCCCCAGTATTTGGATTTTAAACCTCCAAATAACTTTAAAATAAAAAATACTCAGTTACTATAATTTTGCAGTGGTAACTGACACCATTGAAATTTTTAATTGATAGAAACTATTGTGAGGCCAATGTTCACTGACATTTTTATCTGTGTGGATTTAGAAGATAATGGCTGGGTGGGTGGGTGACAGGTGGCATAATGATCATGTTGTTATACTCCCAAGTAGTTGAATGTCATTCAAGTCCTAGACTTGGTGGCTTAAAACTCATGCCAGGCAATGTGCATGTGTGCCCAAAATCCCGAGAGGAGAATGGAGGAGAAGAAACTGCAGCATGGCCATCCCTCTAGGGGGTGATTTCTCACTTTATATTTTTCTGTCTCTGTCTCTCCAATGAGTGCATGAGCCCTATAGCAAAAATCTTTTTCAAAAAGGAAGATAACAGGGAATAAAACATAGTGTATGTAATAGACTAAAACATTTTTTTATTAAAAAGTACACTGGGGATGGCAGGTTGATATGGTGGTTGAAGTACTGGACTCCCACATGGCTGACTGTGGTTTAAGTCCTGGACTGGCAGCTTGTTTCCCACTTTCCTTTTCTTTCTCTCTGGTCAAATTAAAAATTATAAAAATAGGCAGTGGCCCGTGGGAGGGGGCAGTGGCTGGTTGGGGACAAGGGCAAGAAATAAATAAATAAAGTGAAATAAAAGTAAAGAATTCTTTTTTAAAAAGTACACTGATTTTATAGATTTAACATGAAAGAAACTAAAATGAAGACACATTGCTTAGAAACACTGAGTGTCAAAATATGGAGGTGCACCAGATTTAAGTCCAAGTTTAAGTTCAAGATTTAAGTTCTTGGGGCCGGCAGGTGGCGTGGTGGTTAAAGGTGCCAAACTCCCATGTGGCCAGCCATGATTCAAGTCCTAGACCTGGTGGTTTGCTTTCTCACTTTCCCTATCTCTATTTCTCCATCTCTCTCTGATCAAACTGAAACATAATAATAAAAAATAATGTTAAATAATATAATTCTTTTAAAAAAAAGATTTAAGTTCTTACTCCTATGAATGATTTATTATAAAAAAATTAATCAGTCCATTTGTCTGTGTCTCTTTTTATTTGGTTTCAAATTATTCTATTAATATAATGATTATATAATTAAGTAAAAAGTTTACATTTTAGGGCGGCTCCTAAATATATAAAAACTTACAAAGAATAAAGCATTTATAAAAGGTGAAAGCTTTAAGAGTTAGAGATATAATTCTTCTAGTAATAATGGAATTTTTTTAGAAGTTCTTTAGGCATTATTGACTATGCCAAAGAATATTTACAGGAGGAATATTGTGTGTTTATGAAGAACACAACAGAGTAGGTTAGAATATGGTGAAATGATTAAAGATATGGGGGGCTGTATTCATTCTTTAGATGTTGATGGTCTCTTATTTGATGTGAGGAGTCTTTTTAAAAAGTTCATAAAAAATGAGTATTTTCAAAAAAAAGTATGGATTTCAAACGTTTGTTGCACCAAAGAAACCAAAATTTAATTCCATATATTTCTACAAACTTTTTGAAATCCTCTCATAGGTTTGTTTTACTTCTGTTTTTCAAAACTGGTTCTTTCTACAATTTATTAAAGATTTGTCAAATTGAATCATTTTTCTTTTTAGTTACTCAGTACTTGCAGATGTTTTTTAAAAAAAATGATGCTTCATTTCTAAGTAGACTTGAAGTGGGAGAAGACAGCTTTTCTAAACTTTTTTCAGTTTTGAACCTATACACATTATCTGTAAACAAACAAACAAACAAAAAACACCTTTTAATTCAATGAATGAAAAGAAGCTGGGTCAATAAACATAGGGGTTGAAAGAGCCACTAACATTCCATAAAGATTTGGAGAACTGAATACTATTTGATGGTGAATTGAGAAATAAGTAGTGATTTTCCTTTCACATACTAAAATGAGGTAACCAAAAAGTTGCCTACATAAATAGAAAAATGAATGACTCTACTTTATAAAACTAATATACAATTCATTGTCCAAGTCTCAGTTTATTTTAATAAAGGTGCTAAATAATAAAAAATAAATACACTCTCTGTTTTTATTTTTGTTTAGTTTTAGCTATTAACATTTACCTCCTCTTACCTGTTTATCCTAATGTTTTCATGATAAAACTGAAAAAAAAAAAACCTAGTGGAGAGACTAGGAACAAGATAAGAAAGCATGTGTGTGTGTGTGTGAGTGTGTGTGTGTGTGTTGGGGGCGGAGATTCATTTCAGCACTAATCCAGTTTGCATGGAAAGGATAACTGGGAAGAGTTTTAAGCATTCAAAGTACTGACAGAAGTGCGGAGAGACAGGAAAATTCCTGTCATGCTAGGGGGAGAGGGGATGAATTTGCCCAACCTACCAGGAAGGAAATTTGGCCATTTGTATCCACCAATTTAAATGTTCATTCTATCCAGAAAAATCACTTCTAGGAATCTCATATCAGGAAATCATAGTGAACAGAGAAGAGATTTATAAAAATGCTCTTTGCATCATCATTTATTTTTTGAAAAGGAAATAGCTTCGCTATCCACTCGTAAAAGATGGGGGTTTAAGTTGTGATACACTGATAATGATGAGAAAATATAGTAATAAAAATCATGTTTGAATAATACTTCAAGTCAAGGGAAAAGAGCTCATTCTATTGTATAATGCCAAATCTAAAAAAAAATCACTATCCAAAAATATCCTAATTTTTAAAATATATTGAATTTATAAGTGCTTAGAACAACAACAACAAAAAGATTAAAAGGAAATTGATGAAAATGCTAACTTATGGTACTGTGGGGTAATTTAAGTTTTCTTAAAAAAAAACTTTTCCAAACTTTGTAGGATGCGTATATATTACTTGTTAATAAAATGCATTTTATTTCTAAAAGTATACTAGGAAGACTTTGTGTGTGTGTGTGTGTGTGTGTGTGTGTGCACGCACGCGCAAGCCCGAGGATGCGCGTGCACAGTGAGGCGCAAAACAAAGTGTTGGAGTAGCCGCTGGGAGTTTACTTTTAGCACTCGCGAAGGTACTGCACAGTGAGCGTGGTTCGGGCGTTCCTGTCCTCACTTACCCTCTCCTCTCTGAAGACTCCCAGTTCAGGTGCTAGCAAGTCATCCAGAAGAAAGGAATGGCAAAGGGCGCAAACCTGAGGCGGCGTCTCCATGTGGATCCGCCTGCACCTCAGACCCAGCACAGACGTTTTTGCAAAGCGTCAGAACGCGTCTTCTCTTTGGACTTTTCGCCTCCCCCCCCCGCCCCCCATCGTAGTCCGGGAATGTCATGTGAATGAAAGCTGTCCTCTTTCTTTACCTACCTAAAAGTTTCAAAGTGCGCGCCCAGGGTCTTTCCTGCGAGACCACAGTTGAAACGCCCGCAAACCGCTGCGGGTATCCAAGGCCCCTGGAGCGCAGAGGAGTGCCTCGAACCCGTGGGCCAGAGGCGCGTCCAGCCCCTCGCTCCAGCCGGGCTAGCAGAGACCCGGAAGGGACTTGAACCGGGTGACGGATTCTGCGCATAGGGGACAAAGGGGCCTGTTGTACTCCGATCAAGGCACCGAATGAACCCTACTGTGGCCCTGGGACACACTGCCTTGCGACAGCTAAGGTTCCTCCGGGATCCTACGTTATAACCCTCCGAGGAACGAAATGGGGGAGGGGGAGAGAGGAGAGAGAAGAGAGAGGAGAGAGAGGAGAGAAAGGGAGAGAAGAGAGAGAGTAGAGAGGAAAGAGGAAAGAAAGGAGAGAGGAGAGAGAGCGAGGAGAGAGGAGAGAGGAGAGAGAGCGAGGAGAGAGAGAGACGGAGAGAAGAGAGGAGAGAGGAAAGAGGAAAGAGGAGGAGAGAGAGAGAGGAGGGAATGTACATGAGAATAGGAGAGTGAGGAGGGATGAGGACCGGGAGGGAGGAAGAGGAAGTGGGAGCGTTGTCCTTTGGGAGTCACACTTGGTTAATCGGTCCCCTAGAAGTCCCTTATTTCTGCGTTTCCTTCTTTCCGTCTCCCCACAAGCCTGGGAGGACGGGGAGAGGGGATCCATAGTCCCTTTGCTTATCAGAAAAGCCCGCACTCCCGCACCCCTCGTGGGTTGCTACTCCATGTCCTCGCCACCCAGCGTCGTCGGGGATGGATCAGCCTCAAATCTTGAAGCTTTAAAAACAAAGTAAGAACTTCTGCTTTACCTTGTCTATATTTTAAAGAAGAGGCAAGGAGAGATTGGACTCTACAGGGGCACCTAAGTCTGCCTTTTGCGGTGAGGATTAGCTCCCCACCTCCGGCCGCAGAAGCTCCTGGGCGCGAGCCTCGAGGCCCTGACTCTAAAGAGCTCTAGCTTGTCCCCACTCGCCCTTGACACGGCCCCACTGAGGGCGATCGTGTGTATATTCACTCTACAGCTGCCGCTCTGCTGCAGGGCCGTGGGGACTTCATACGCTACCCCGAGCTCCTCAAGGCCCACCCCTCTGCCTTGGGACGCCCCTCCTGGCCTTTCCGCCGCACCCTCTGCCCCAGCCGGCGCACACCGGGACGGGGACCGACAGACATTCTGCACCCGACGCAGTTCATCCCGTCTGCTTGTTCTCGCAGCTTTCCAAGAGCTCAGTCATGAAGGAGATGTAGACGATGGCCAGGCGAAGGGTCTCGATTCGGGACAGCCTCTTTTCGTAAGCAAAAGTGGGCACCTTCCTCCGCAGCTGGTCAAAGGCCTCATTCAGGTTGAACATGCGCTTCCTCTCGCGGATGTTGGCGGCTTGGCGCTGCGCGTAGGTGATCACCCTTTTCCTCTTGGGGCGGCCCAGCAGCGAGACGCCTCTCCTGCGCTCCTCTTCCTCCTCCTCCTCCCCCTCGTCTACTTCGCCCTCTTCTTCTTCTGGCTCCCCGTCCTCAAACCTTGCCAGCCTCCTGGGTCTTCCTTCTCGAAGCGCAAAGGCTGGGTCTCCAAAGGGGACCCCGGGCGCAAAATCGCAGAGGAGAGGGTGTCTTGGAGAGGCCAGGGACAGGTCTGCGACGAAGTCCAGTACGGAGGCGTCCACGCAGCTCTCGGGGTAGGCCGCCATCGCTTCAGCTTGGCCCTGCGTTTCATGGACTTCTTGCAGCGAAGGGCGAGGCTGCTGGTAGAGCTCTTTAACAGCCTCAAATTTGTGGGGGCATCCTCACCAAAGGGCCGGGGACATGCATATTTATAACCAAGCTGATAACAGGATTAGTCGAACCGATAGGGCAGGCTCTGACGACGTCCCTCCCCTGGAAGCTGATGGAAGAAGACAAGCTTGAGCGCTCCTGGAAGACTGAAAGGGGCAGGCCTCCAGTCCTGAGCTCCTTTTCGCTATGCCACCAGGGACAGTTCCTTCTTGGCAACCACCCTCCGTTCTCACCTGCTGTGCTTTTTGTGTCTCCTCACCCCGTCTGCCAACTAATGTTCTCTGGGCTCCTTATCTCATGTAGTTCTTTAATTTCGGTTCAGATTTTCAAAGCGAGGATGTTTTCCACTGTGATGGCTTCTCCTTGGCTTCAGGCTAGGAGTCCTGAATCTTGCCATCAGCTGCCAATGGATATGAAGCAAGTGCATGTGCTTTTAATGATGTCCTGAAGAGGGGCCCTGCCTGCCAGGGGTCGAGGGGAGCTGTTTGTCTGGTATCCCAGTGCTGCGGCGGCTGAAAGGCAAGATCTTCCATTAGCTTAAGTAAGCATGGCAGGGGGGGCCTGGGGCACATTCCCCACAGTCGCTGTTGGAACCGGCTTTCTTTTCCTTCCAGGGCATCGCAAACAGTTCTCCTTCCCTGTTAGAAACTCTGACTTCTAAAGTCTGTTTGGATGTAATCGGCCTAACAAGTGAGACACTTGGCTTTCCTTTCGTTACTCTTATCTCCCCCTCCTGTAAAGTAGATTTTTTCCCCCCAGACGAGAAGTTATAATGACAATCAAAGAGAAATGGAAGCTCAGGATATTTCCCCCATTTCAGTTTTGCTGTATGATTTCCAGCATGGAGACAAAGCAAAGCCTTCCCCTAAATAAATACTTCCATTGCCCTTGCTAAGCCAAAGGGTTGAGTAGCTCACCTGCTGAGGAGCCTTTGGGCTTTCAAATTGTCGAGCGAGCGTTTATGAACCTGAAGAAAAACCCTGACATCTCATCTGGCTTCTTTGATTCATCCATTTGTACCATACTCGGTATACCTTAGAGTGGGAGCCATAGCATGCTGAAATCAATTTAAGGGAGATTTGGGGTTATCTTTAGATCACTTTTGAGATTAAAAAAAAAGAGATTTAAAATTTGATATTCCGAAAGTGAAATTTTGCTGACTTCCTATTAGCTCTAATATTTTAACACAAAAAGGTTCTTTCCTTCTTTTTTGCCAAGAGCTATACTTACTTAGTTATTCAGTGTAGAGATTTTTACAAAGGCCTAATGGGGCAAAGTGATAGGTTAAAAATAATTTTAAAGATGGATTAGAAAAAAAAAATCGCCTGAAAAGATGAGTAGAGAAATCCTGATGAAAGGAATAACCGCTGTGGATATCAATCCCTACTAGGGAGATAGGAGATAAATGCGCTCAGCACGTTGGACAGCTCCCAGGAACCGCCTATTTCTAACAGGTAAGTAAGTACATACTGTAGCTTCCCTTCGTTTTCCTAGCCTGCCAGGATGTCATCAAAGCGGTATGGCCTTGAATTCCTATTTTTAAAAACCTGTTTATGTCTAAGGTGCTCTTCGACTCCCTCCCCTCACCCCTCCGCTTATGTTTACTCTCCATTCTCCAATTTGTATTGTGATAACTCAGGCAAAGAAGAATTGCAATTTCAGTTTCTAAAAGATGTTAATGAGACCTTTAGTTCTGATTACCTATTTGATTTTTACTCAACCTCTTTCAGAGAAAGACTGAAAAATAAGAACTAATAGGAATGTCAACAGTGCTTAAGGAACCTGTTAATGGGAGAGTTGACTTTTGTCGTAAGAAGCAGGAACATACTTTCTAAGCCTCGTTTATCTTAATGTGTTATGAAAAATTTAGGAAAATTCTATAGTTGATTTTAAATTTATGTTCAATGTTGACATTTCCCCCCTTTTTAAATGTGTATGCAAATAAATATCTCAAATGAGAATCTAGTTCCACAGCAAAATATATTAGGACACTGAGTGAAGGAAAACATGGTAGATAGTTAAGTTTAAAATTTAATAAAACAGGGGGCAGAAGCTCTGATAATATTTTTTTTAAAGTCATGACTTTTAAATTTTAATTTTAAGATTTATTTATTTACTCATTTATTCATTTAGATTAACTTGACCAGAGAGAGACACAGAGAGAGAAAGAAAGTGAGAAAGCAAGCCACCAGATCCTGGTCTCAAACCATGGTCATCCATGTGGGAATGTCCAGCGTCTTAACCGCCACACCATCTGCTGGCCCCGCTATGATAATATTTTAAAGAAACAATTTTTGGGGGCTAAAGATCTTCATGATTTTAGACAAAAGAATGATTTTTTTAAAATATCACAAAGAAAACTATAGCAAAGTTAGTGGAATCAATAGCCAGGATTGGGTTAAAATTCTAATGTTAAATACTATGAATGTAGAAAAGATGACTTAATAGTATATGTGCAGCAATAATTTAAAAATATTTTCTCTTTTATCCCATCATAAAATACTAAGATTAACACTTCTATTTATATCACAGTAATTTCAGTTTATTTACAAGGTTTTAATCATGCTGAGATCATTAGAGTCTTAACACTTCTATTTATATCACAGTAATTTCAATTTATTTACAAGGTTCTAATCATGATGAGATCATTAGAGTAAAAAGTGGTAAAATCTAAGTTATGACAATGACTGACTCTATAGTTCATTTATAATTATGAATAATTTTATAATAAAATAGTTAATTTTATTTTTAGTTATAATTATTATAGCTCCTAATTATAAGAATAAGTAAGATTGTTTTTATGTTTTTATTTTGAAACAATTTTATTTAAAAAAAGCTTTAGAAGGAGCCAACAGGTGGTATGGTTGTTACAGTGCTGGACTCCCATATGGTTGACTGTGGTTGGAGCCCTGGACCTGGTGGCTTGAAAATCACACCAGGCATGTGTGGATGCATGCTCAAAATCCTGAGAGGAGAACAGAGGAGAAGGGACTGCATCATGGCCATCTCCAGGAGCACATGCTCTATGGCAAAAGAATTTTAAAAAAAGAAAAAAGAAAGGGTTTTGGTGAACATTTGTTTCTGCAGAAAATAAATACAGTAAACATACACTGAGAAAGTAGTAAGTGATGTAAAACAGTTCATTCTGTTGGAAAGAATCATTATTTTCATTTCTAGACTTGAAAGTTAAGAGAGAAATGCTATTAAAAAAAATCAACATGCTCTATGGCAAAAGAATTTTAAAAAAAGAAAAAAGAAAGGGTTTTGGTGAACATTTGTTTCTGCAGAAAATAAATACAGTAAACATACACTGAGAAAGTAGTAAGTGATGTAAAACAGTTCATTCTGTTGGAAAGAATCATTATTTTCATTTCTAGACTTGAAAGTTAAGAGAGAAATGCTATTAAAAAAAATCAACTGAGGCTTAATGGAAGCTGAATTCAGCCTTTATCTGTCTGGGCTGTAGGCTCATAGTTTATAATTATTCAGTGACCTACATGAAAGATTTCATAAACAGTTTCATAAAAAATACTCTTCAGGTATTTTACTCAAGTTGTTTCAGGAAAGAACTGTGAAATGATAGTCAGTTTTGCTTATTTGATTACCTCCCATAAATCCATTGGTTGTCCCCATTAAACATTTTATGTATATTGTTATATTGAGAATCAAAGCAAAAAAATTAACTTGAGCAATAATTCTCAAGAAGGTTGGAGAGTAAGATTAAAAGTGGTCAGGAGAGAAACATAGATTTAAAATAAAAAAGTATCAAGAGAGTAAAGCCACTACTTAAATCTCTCAAATTTCTTAAAAGCCTGCCTTTCTCTTTCATGCTCGCCTTCCTTATTCTTACAGAATCGTTATGCATTTTTAGAGCAAGTAATAACAGTATGAGGTATGTGTTTGTCATGATTACAGGAAAAAAAGATCTAATAAGCACTTATACAGCTGACACAGAAGAGGGATTTATGTCTTTTTATTTTTTAGAATTTTTTTAGTTAGTTACTTTATTTATTTATTTAGAGAGTTGCTACTGGGTGCATGCACTTGCGGAGAGAGAGAGAGAGAGAAGGAGAGAGAGAGAGAGAAAGAGAAAGAGAGAGAGAGAATGAGAAATCATGCCCCATCTTTTCTCCTTTATTCTCCTCTCAGGGTTTTGGGCATATACACATGCATGCCTAATGTGAGTTTGAAGCTGCTGGGTCCAGGACTTGAACCACAGTTGGCCATGTGGGAGCCCAGTGGCATAACCATTACATCATCTGCTGGTCTCTAGAATTATTTAATTTAATTTTGTTATTATTATTATTATTATTATTATCTGATTCACCAGAGAGAGAAAGGGAAAGTGAGAAAGCAAGCCACCAGGTCCAGGACTCAAACCATGGCCAGCCACATGTGAGTCCAGAGCCTGAACTATCATGACACTCACTGACTTTGTCTTTTTCTTTTCAATTTCAAAATGTTTATGGCTATGGGCATAGCTCATTTTAAATATGAAAATATATGCATTGGCATGCACACACACATATATACATGTATATACACATATCTCTTAATTTTACTTCTTCATTTTATAGTTTAGGTAAGCTTTTTTTGAACTTTGGTGTATATATTTTAAAATTTGTAAATCTTATATATATATGCAGATTAATAATTTTTTAAAAATTTTTTACTTTATTTATTCATTTATTTTTTAGTTTGATCAGAGACAGATGGTGAGAGTGAAAGAGAGAGGAAGTGAGAAAGCAAGCCACCAGATTTAGGACTCAAACTCTCGTCAGCCATATGGTAGTGTCCAGCGCTTTAACCACCACGCCACCTGCTGGTCCCCAGATTAATAAATTTTTATGAATTGAACATATCAATGAATCAGTGCCCAAGTAAGGACATAGAATGCTTTATTAAAGATTGAGAT